AAAGTATGTAAAACGATTTTGAGGTTTTACTATATGGGTATCATTCCGACCCCAGACAATGACCCTCAAATTATTGCACAGTGTTATGGAACTTTCTCCCAGAAAAGTGTGTACTTTTCCATGCGCTAATCGGTGGAACATTCGAGCATTCAAATGATGAGTTCTGCTTATCAAGGCTTTGGATTTAAGGCAAATGCCGTTCAATTCGCAACTTGCTATATGCTTGGCGAATATCGCCGTCTCTTTTATACATTCATTAGCATTCATTAGAACTGATTTTGTAGTGTAAATCTTGACGACTTTGCTTATGTATGTATGCGTGTATCCTTTAGCCCTGCAAAAATCGTTGGAACACGTGGTCCTCTGTAATGCAGTATCAGACTGGCTCGAGTCTCTGGGTATACCCAACAATTGATCGTGTTTTAACGATCGTAATCCCTACACGATGTTTAATGGGCTCGCAATGTTAATTGCACCACATTTTTATACCCGAGCGCACAATAATTTTATTTCACCATGAATTATACTTGTTTCTTTTGAAATATGCCAAGTGATAAAAAAAAAACAGTTGAAATATTTTTCCATTTATTCGTTTTTATTTCGTAGCTTCATATTTTTGTTTCCACAAAATTTCTGTTGTATATAAAACAAAAAAACATACATATGTATGTATGTATGTAAAAACTGCGCTTTCCGTCCGACGTTTCATTGAAAATAATGGGCTGTGGTAAAAGTCGATCTCAACGACATGATCGACAAAGAAGTAGTGGCCAAAGATCCAGACGAACAAGTCGATATCAAAATTGTAGCCACCACGGAAGTCTAAGCCGCAGTCATAGCCGAAATTGGAGAACATCAAATGACACCAACAGAAATGATTCCCGCCGCAATAGATGTGTATCGTGTGGCCAAGAGCGAAGCAATTGTCCATGTTGCTGTGGTTCTATGAAAATAGCTAGCTATCCCATCGAAGGGCAGCATACAACACAACAAAGACCTAAATGCAGAGCGCAGCCACGCAGACTACCGCCACCCACAGCATCGTTTACGCAATCAGAAGCATCCTCAATAGATAATCCAAGCCGAATTACATGTTCACGTCGCACCACGCAGCCGGCATCTTCTACAGATTGCTGTTACTCTGATGATGCGGAAAGTGATGGTACATACGAGGAAGATGCGCCGTCAAATGTCAATGAGGATCGCAGTGGTGGTGGCGTTAAGACTGTAATATGTTTGACATTCAAGCCACCACAAACGCAATCGCCACCACCATCGTCTCCACCACCACCACTGCGAAAAAATCGTTAGTTGGCAGCGTGGAACAGATGGTAAAATAAAATTTGTGGAATTAAAAACTTCCCAAAAAAATTGGGCGCAAAAAACCGTACCTTTGCCAACTTCATTACTCTGATTTTCAACAAAAAGTACCAACTTGAAGTCAGCTCCATTTATAAGTACGCACCACATAGGACATGCATACACAATTGGTAGGTATGTACATTAGGGTGACTCATTCTCCATACCAAAATATATCGGTACTTGAGGATTATTAAATATTTGAAAACTTCCGCCAAAATGTTTCGAAAAAATATCAAAATTGATGTGAGCACTTTATAAGCGAAATTAGTAAAAAGTAAAATACTCAAAAAATCCCCTCAGATAATAGAAAAACGTGAGTTTAAACTTTCTGCATAAAATTGTCTAATATTTTATCAAACAAAACAAAAAAAAATTAGATTTTTGAGATATGTATTTTCAAACCGCGCCAGCCCGCATTAATCTAAATAGTTCATTAAATATATTATTGGGGTATTCACAACTGGGTCGAAGTTGTCATAATGTTGTACATATGTCGTAAACTTTAAACGGCAAAAAATATATTAAGGGGCTTGGCAAGCTACGATAAAAGTCATATTATGAGTTTTCAGTGTTAAAAAAAAATTGGTTCTGGTTTCAAGTTTTCTAAACATTTATCTAAGCTTTTGAAGTTCACGACACTAACGACACCGTTGTGAATACCCCATACATAATTCCGGTTGATTTTTTTTTTTTTTTGGCGATGGACCAGAAAGCCCTAACTTACATCATCACTGAAATGCAACAGGTCGTGCCTAATAAATTTTTATTGCATAAAACGATGTGGAGAGTTAAAATTCGATGAAATTTATCATATCAATCCAAATGTGAATTTTAATTTTTTTATTATTTACGAGTTTTTTGCATTTCAGTGGCGATCCTAGCCAGTTACTTTTTGCACATCAGATGACAATACATTGATGTTGACTTTTTTTGCCTTTTAAGATACTTGCCTTTAATGCCTTTTCTTCCTTTAAAAAAGTGATTTCTCTTTTTAATTGTAATATCAAAATTCTAACATAAATGAATTTTTTGATTATTTTTCCGTTTTTGTCTTTTTTTTAGTGCCTGTTTTTGCCTTTTTTGCGATTTCTAGTGCTTTTTCCTGCCTCTTTTGTTATTTTATTTTGCCTTTTTTATAGGTTTTTAGGTGCTAATAATCCGTTCCCTGCTACATTACATTGGGCAGCCGTAGGGCGCTTCAGCAGGCCTCCCTTTCGATCAAACCAGACAGTGGAGACTGGCTTGTAACTTAATAATTTTCCTAAAGGCGTTGATAAATTTGGTTTTTTTCCAATTTAAGAACTTTCTTGTTAAAGATTTATAACCATTAACTGCACCAGTTTTAGTTTCAAATTTAAATATGCAGAAGATGCATTTTCTTTGCTATCACAAACTTTTCAAGCGCCATAATAAACTTGAAAACTTCTTAACTCTGTATGCCTAAATATCTCAGCTTAAGTATCACATTGTGTGGCGCATAATCAAACTGAAATATTAGCTTCTTTTTGGTTGTTTGTAATTTATTGCTGCTGGTGAAAAGTGTCGCAAACGCATTCGAAAACTTTATTCGTTGGCTATGCTAAAAGTATATGCGTGTCCAAAAATGACTGTATGGAAGTTATATAATTTTTAACAGCCCATAGAAATTTCAAACCTCTGAATATTTATCAGCTAAAGAGTTGGCACAAATCAAAATGATATAACGAGTACGAAAATGGGTTAATTTTTGCAATAAAAACGGCGAGTCAGCTTATGAGGAAAACTAAGCAATAAAGATGAACAAATTTAGCGGATTATTTGTACATAAAATATTTGTAATTCGGAAGTATTAAATTTTTAAGGAATTTTGCTACAAAATTCTTTAAATATTAATTTGAAAATATATGGCTGGAATTTACTATTCAAAATAGTACATAGCTTTAGTTTTTTAACCGATTTCAATAATTTTTTTTTATCTGAAAGCTAAAAAAATAGAAGATATTTGCCGAGCACAATTTTTGAATGTTTTGACATAAAATTTTTTTTTTATAATTATTGCAAAATTTCAAGGATATTCAAGGATAATATTTTAAAAGGACATTTTCAATATGTAGTCGCCCTTATGCACCAACAAATTTAATCTGTTTAATTCTACAGAATTTTCTCTTTACTGTTTTTTACATTGCACTGATTTTTCGTGTGTGAAAAATTGACTGCCTCACGGCTTAATAAATACAAAATTCGGCTGCTAATACAATATTCTATATTAAAAATATAATTAAGTGCTTAATTTACATCTTCTTTATAATAATTTTTCCCCCTGTCCAAAACCCGCATCTATTTTCGCGCAAAAGGCATACATAAGTGGAAGTTCCTTAGTAAGTCTAATCTCGCTTTTGTTTAACTCTAAATCCGCCTCATTCATTTACCTTGCATTTATGTTATGCCGAAAATCTTGATTAATTTCGTTCACTCATTTCATTCCTTATCCAAGACTTGTTTCTCACATTTGTTCATGCCTCGCTTGCATATACATATGTATCTACGTTTATTAATACCATTCATTTTGTATGTATGTATGTTGTTGCTTTTTAACATTATCAATAAAACTCATATTCATATTCGTTAAATTAAAAGTCGCATATTCTGATAAAATTTGTTCAAACAAAAACTTTTTATCCCACAAATGATCAATAGTACTACAAATTCAAATTCTCTAAATGCATTAAATTTAACTCTCTAGATAACACATCTATAATTAAGTCAAAAATTAAATGGCACTTTTAAATACGTGCACTTACAATTTGCCGTTAAGTGAGTGGTGAGTGCCACTTGCTGCAGCCAGACAATGTAAAATGGTCAATAGCCCGAATAAAGAATGTCGGAAAGTGGCAGAAAAATGTGTGGAATTAAATTCATTTAAAACTCATTGAAAAAGTGTAATGTATGTACGTGCGGAAATCTAAAAGGGAAGTACGATTACTTGACTGTGGCATCAAGTTGTAAGTTAAACACAATGAACCACAATTTCGTTGAGTGAAAGCATTAATTACAAGCACGTTTTCACACAGAACTAACTGCAATCTTCATTGTTGAAGACTTTACGGTGAACTTACATATGTACATATAAATGCACATACATAAGCATCTATGTATGTATATACAGGAGAGTGGTGAAAAAAAAACAATAAAGTAGGAATTTCATTGCCGCCACCCTCTAGGATTGTTCTATACCGAAAACAAATATACCGCTATTTTCTTATTTTGAAGTCAAAAAATAGAGAGAGTGCTCGAGAGAATGGGATGCAGCACTGCCAGTAGCAGAGGGAGGTATATCCATCTACATTGATGATTCAAAGATAGCAAGGAACCGGAGCTAGTTTCTACTCGAAGGACCTGCAGATCAATCGGTCCTTCCATCTACCGAAAGATTACAGTGTCTTTCAAGCACAGATCTGCGCTAAAGAAAGGATGGCTAGTCTTTTACCTAGTAGTAGAGTTCCAGAAGAAAAAGCTATATATGTATCTTTGTCGATAGTCAAATAGCACTCAAGGCGATGGGATTTCAAAAAGTTAAATCGGCGTCACTCTATGCTGGGTCCTCGGTTATAGCAATATTGAAGAGAATAAGTCGGCTGATGAGATGGCCAGATGCGGTTCAGACATGCGAACAAATGAAGCGGATAACTCCGCATTACCACCGTTTAGTGATCCACGTTATGAAAGTTGATGAATACACCGTGACTACGAGTAATGACTTGTGGAACAAACGAAAAGACTGTGAGATTACAAGAGCTTCAAGCACTTGGATACAGGATTCTTCAACACAGCGAAGCGGAAACTGCTGGATCTCCTCGGCTTCATTAAGGATGGTAAGTAATTGGTTCAGTAGAATAATAACTTGAAATTACTTAGTTACCCACTTGCTTAAACCTGGCACTAGCAATGTACAATTCGGGTCCGAATAAAAGTATGGAATATTCCACACACACGCCCTCCTAAGCTAACCTAAATCATTGCGTTAAATCTGCGGTTTCAGTCAGTCATTCTATCTGAAGCTATCTATAACTAGGCAGACATGGATCACGAGGGTAATGGAATGTCGTTCACCTTGTTTTATAAACCTGAGAGTTGAAGGGAGTACTAGCTTGACTCTAAAGAGTGAGATAGGAATTCATGTGGTTCGACCTGGGATATTTTCAATTCACTATTACAGAGATTTTATCGAATTTGCAGTAAGAATATAGGGTATTTTTTCTTAGCTGTTTTGGCTCTAAAAGGCAACAATTACGGTCTCAGCTTTTTAGCACAACTGGTGTCATCATGTGTCATTTTGAGCACCAAGCTGAGAATGCCAAAAACGTTTGGGGAAGGCAAAGCTAGTGGACACATGCAAGATATGGGAATTGAGTACTGTTCTATATGTAGATGCAAAAGTCTCTCTTAGACCCATCCTAGTGTAATGCTCTAGTCTGCTGGCCGCATCCAGATAAAACTTATTTCAAGCGAAAATTCACATCATCATACTTATGTATGTACATTTTTAGGCGTTCTCAAATAAATCATAAATGTCACATGATATTAACTTTCACAGCAGATACTACATTATCCATATTTCCCCCGCCCTTCATTCACCACTTCGCTTACGAAGTGTCCCTCACATGCGATATGCGAACCCATATTTGTTTGGTTGGCTTAATGGCGCAGAGCGCATCGCAGCCGTCAAATTACAAAATTTTGCTACAAAATCAACCAGCAATATCAATACCAACAACACCCAACAAGCAAACATTTTTCGAAGCTTTGACTATCGATTACCACCAACAGAGTAATCTGAAATTTATACGCTTCCGTCTCCCGCTATACTCACAAGCCATCAGTTGTTATCTCTGCCAGCCACAAACTGTACCGCCTTTCATTTTGAATCCCCTACCACTGCCACACACTCACGTGCATCCATGTTTTTGTTT